TTGCCATGTACAGTTTTCGGGTTATACTACCGTATTGATTTTTCGTCTTATGGATTTTATTTTGTTATTTTCCGTTTTGATATTCCAGGCTGTGCAAGGCCTCACAGCAGTGGATGTATCCGAAAGGGCAGTAGTGTGGCTTCAAAGTGCGTTTTTTCGTTGTTCTTGTTTTTTTTTTGTTTCTGTTTTCTATGAGTGTCTACGTCTTGGAAAGCTGAATAATTCGAAAAAATAGTCGAAATATCTTTAATTTACATTTCCGTAAGTAAATTCATTGGGACGACTCCCAGGCTTAGGAGACGTAGCCTCACACTGAAACTGGAATCAGCTTGCGACGCTCGGGGATTTAATACTCAACCGTATCGGTACCGTAACGGTATCGTAGCAGTGGATTTCAGTTTTTCTTTGGGGATTTTTCCAAAACTTGATTTATTCGGCCCGGTAGCGTTTTGATAGCCATGTTTTCGAATTTCCATTTGAATTTCGTCCTTTTTTCTTCAAATTCGATATACCGTATCCGTAATGCTCATCCGAAAATTTATTGATTGGTACGAAGATACGCTTGCTTAGAGTGCTCTAGTGGGACGAGTGATTAATTTGGTAAAAAATCCGATCAGTGTCCCTCTTAAAATCTTCAAGCACGGGTCAGATTGAGCGCATTGAGGAGACGGAGCGGAGAAGGGGGGTGGCGGTAGATTCGTGCTGAACGGTGGAAAGAGGAGGGACAGGTTTCGTAGGTGTATGTCAAGGATGTGTAGGAATCAGATCGTTTATTGATCTTACTACAGTATGCTAAAGGTTTTCCGTTATAGTAATTTGCAAATGTTATCGTAATTAATCGCATCAATGCGTGTAAATGAATAAACAAATAAAATTAGGGAACGGAAGGAGAAAAAAAGAGATCGTATTAGGGGGACTTTGGGTGTGGCAGAAAGCCAAGGGTGGGTGTCATGTCTGCTTTTACCCTTTCTGCTTTTCCGTTTCCACACGCTCCATATAAAATCTTTCTAAAAATTTGCTCATTTGACTTTTTTACTTGTTCAACACCTACTTTATGAATGCGGGGGAAGGGATTTGTGAGGGGAGATTAAGTGAAACCATAGTTGAATATGTCAGAAGTGACGACTGAACAACTTCAATATTACATCATTACACTTTGTTTATCTAGCTGCTCTATGGCATAAATGATTTTATTTGTTTGTTACATCGAAATGTTCTGATTGCGCCGTGCTTCTGACTTCCTCTTAGAATTATGAATTATTGGATGGTTTCGCATTTTCTATCAGTAAAGGATTTTCCCTGATTTAAGTCAGGACTTCGACTATTTATATAGTATTTAGTATTTCTACTAATTAATTGATCTTGGAGGAAGATAAGGCCAAGTTGAATTAGGGTTTGATCGTATGGATTGCGTTAGTACTTGCCATGCAAGGCCCCTGGTCTCCTCACTACGCCCACTCATGAAATAGTGTTTTATGAGGTGATTTGAGCGGTTAAAACAGCTTTAAGGATTCCTATTTGTAAACAAATAAATAGACAATTGAGTATTTTTCATATATTCCCAGCATTTACGAACTTTCGAACTTGAAGCCCGTCGTACCTTACATGAAAACACCGAGCGTAGTCAAAACGGACGGCTTGTTCCTGCACTGTTGTGCAAACGCTCTCTCGGGTTCTCGATTTGATACATAGGCTTTTAAAGGGGATGTTTTCGACCAAGATGACTATCAATGGGATGACTTAGTTGTTTTCATGTGGTAGTTACTGACATTATAAAAGTAGTAAGTTCTGTAAGAGCAAGAGATCCGATTTGGGGTCTACACATGGGCTGAGCTACAAACAAAAAGGCTAGGTTTACTTAAATCCAAATTCGGTTAACTTACGCAGTAATTGCTGTCAAAAAAATCCGTTACAAGCAGTAGATTGAGAAGTAGGAGAAGTAGTTGTTTTACTTGATTATAAAACGGTATTTAATTTGTATTTTTGAATTCTTGCTGATTGAACTGCATTTTTTCAGTACTCATTGATCAGTTATTCATCGTCCGTTCTTATCAGTAAATATATGCCCTTTCGATTGATTTTTGAGCTCGAATTTTTGCAGCCATTAAAATTAGCTTCAAAAATATTCTGCTTGCATAAGCTTATGTATGCATTCAGTTCAATGATTATGATGATTTCCCAATACCTACTAGTTTTTACTACATCGCCTACTTTGTAAGCTAACAAGTATTCGTATACTTCCGTTGTACCTAAAATAAGTCGTTCTGGAAAAATATCCCGTTTAGATGTTCGTGTGCTATGGATGGAATGGTCACGTGCTATGCACGAGCCTAAGCCTCCTAGCCAGTCAAAGACGCCCCATCAGCACGACTCTCTTTCAAGCTTGTTCCTACCATACAATCTTAAGCTTTTCGACGCTATAGATACTTACTGCTTATCTACTAGTACAATCAGAAACCAGTATCTACTAGTTCTACCTTTAGAAATACTTAGAAGTTCCAAATATCCTTTCAGAAAGGCGTTAAATTGAAATCCACTTCGTCCCATATGTTCGTAACAGCGAAATTGAGCGAGTTAGGCTGGTATATGTAGGTCTGTAGGTTATTCGGACCTCCAATAATGACACGTACTGGCTCTCAATAGTCCCGTTACGCAGCAGGGACACTGGGAACGAAGTATTGCCCGTCATGAGACAATAGGGGGTTAGCTGCAGTTCAGGCAAAGAGGAGGAGCTAAACTGAAAACATAAAAAACTGTACACTTGAAGAAACGTTTCGTATTGAAACAGCTGATTTCAATCAATTCTCAGCTCCTATCGAATTTCTTGAGGTAAAGCACTAAGTTGTAAAATGCGCCTTTTTATGAGTGCACGATTCGCATCCCTCCATCGTTACATCAGAAACTGAGCATTTTTTCAATCGATACTTCCTGGATATGTTAGAAAATTTATAGTGAAATATTCCATGATATGGAAATTATTAAACGGTAAAGCAATGATATAGAACGTAACTGTTACTAGTAATTACTTTGAGTCACTCCAAAAAACTTTCGACATAATTAACTGAGCGTAAAGAGATTCTTTCAAAAAAATTAGTGAGCACTGCGTGCTCACTAATTTTTCTGAGACATACTCCGTTTTTACCGATTTTCAAAGCAGTTCGGTACATAACTNGCTTTTTGAGAAGGTTTTAACCAGCAAAAGTCTCCGTATTTCATTGAGTATATGAATATAAGAAGGAATGGTAAGTAGATGTTGAATGCATGGCGCACTCTCTCGAGGTTATTGGAGATAAGCACGTTTTTGGTTATGGGCTTGAGCTTAGATAGAAGGGAGTGTTTGAGCTCAGAAGCATGAGTTGAAACTACATTCAAAAAATTACAGGTTCTGACTTACTCATCGATATCGTAGACCAGGTACTACGTCATAAGTAATAAAAAAACCTAATATTAAATTCCATTGCGTCATCATTTGAACAGATTTCATGGAAAGCATGCGATACCTGAAAAACGATTGGCACTAAAGAAATAATATAAATGAGTTGAGGAAGTGTAACAGTGATCACAATAAGTTTTTTTTTCTGTCTGATACGAAATTATGTTACTGGATTACTTCTAGGTAAAAGTAAAAAAGAGTGAATGATAGGTTCTAAGGGGCAATTACTCCCTCATACACATACTTCTTCCCTTCCAGTTATTTCATTTCTCAAAAAAAGGGAAAAAAATTGGAACACGACTCCTATCTCATGTGTAGACAGGGGACTTTTGGTGAAAGCTTTTTCGGCCCGGCCGTGGAGGTAATCTCATTCTACTGCCCTTTTGGAGGTTTTCAAAATAGATCACTGTTCTCTGGAAAGGAATTGCTTCGTTGATTTTATAAAATAAATTCACCACATTAAACTTCTAATGGTTACTTGATATCACGGCCTTTAAATGTATTTTTTTGATTTAAATTTCTTTGAATTTTAGATTCAGTTGTTCTTTACGAGACTACTTACTTTCATATTTTTTTAAATCGAAATACTGCGTTCTAATAACATCAGCCATTATCAATAATATTGCTTTTTGTTATGTTTGATAAGTTTCCTTACCAATTTGAAAATCGTGATAAATGGTTACCATCATTCTGATTGCATTAACCACTTAGATCTCAAGTGATTGGGTTCCGTATTATTAGGAAAGTAACAAGAGGTCCAAGTGTATAGAGTTTGCCAATTTATTCTTACTTAACTAACTTGTAGCAGTATTATAAATGTATGTTGTATTGAAGTTGGCCCAACTCTGTACTTTT